GTGGCAGAAGCTAAGTCACCTCATGATGAACAGGAAACAGGAGGACACTAGGTATAGCCTACACAGCCACTCCTACCCTAGTGACACACATCCACCAGCTAGGCTTCACCTAAGCCTCCAGCACCTCCCCAAACAGCGCCAGAGGCTGAGGACCAGGCATTCAATACATAACCTGTAAGGGGACCTTTCACATTCAAGGCACAGAATACTTAATTAGCTAGGTCTGCTATTACATGCCTGTGATCCCAGCAGTCTGGAGGCCGAGGCAGGATGACTGTGAGTTCAGAGCCTGGAACTAATTTATCATCTAATTTCTGGAGAGTAGACACTTTTCTGCTTGTGATGCTGAAAGGTAAGAAAGGACTAGTTTTCCCATTAGTCCATCCCTCTGATAACACACTGCTCAGTTTGCATCTCTTATTTGTGTGCATGTTGTGTTCATGTACCTGTGTGTGCGCATGTGGAGGTCAGAGGTCCACTGTGTCTTCCTTTATCTCTCTACCCTTTATCTTCTGAGACAGGGCTTCTGTTGGATCTGGAGCTCACAGGTTAGCTACATGGGCTAGCCAACCAGGTCTAGGATCTACCGATCTGCTCCAACTTCCAGCTCTGAGGTTACAGACACACCCCCAAGCCTGGCTTTTTGCAAGGATGCTAGGGGTCTGAACTCAGGTCTTCATGCTTACACAACAAGCATCTTACTGATTCAGCCATCTCCTTAATCTCCTGGGGTTTGTGCCTTGTTGATTCATTTTTATTTTTGAGACAGGGTCCAGTCTGGCCCAGAACTCATGGTTATCCTCCTGCCTTTGGAGTGCTGGAATTACAAATATGCGTAACTGGCTGTATTCTTTTAAAACAGAGAACTCCTAAAGTTTCCCAAGATGGCCTCCTTTTTAAAAGATTATTTTTATGTGTACGAATGTTTTGACTGCATGTATGTGTGTACATCATGTGTGTGCACAGTGCCCACGGAGATCTGAAGACAGTGTTGGATCTGGAACTGGAGTTGCAGATGGTTGTGAGCCATCATGTGTGTGCTGGGAACTGAACCCAAGTTCTCTGCAAGAGGAGCCAGTGCTCTTAACCACTGAGCTATCCATGAGGTGGCTTTTTATCTCCCGCACAGGCTGGTTTTTCTTTCTCTCTCAGGAGCACTCATCTTACCACTCTCCCGGCATGATGAGGGTCACATGTACCTTCATCTATTTGTGTTTTAGCCTACTAGGGTGAAGTGGCCTGCTTCAGAGCTGATCCCTTCCTTCATTCAGAGGCTGCAACGTCTGTAAAGGATAAGCCGCCCCACTGTCATAGCCTTTCAGAGAATGTTGATACTGCCTGTTCTCCACCCACCCAGCCACCCCACCAACCACTTACCTGCTCAGCCATTTTACCAGCCCACATTTAACCATGTCTTCCTGGCCCGTCACACCACACCCTTGGTTAGTGTAACGTCCCTTGGCAACATGAAAGCTAAAGTTGTGTAACATTTACAGTTTCTTTTGCTTTGCTCATGTTAACATTTTGCTCAGTTCAGCCTCTTGAACAATCGCTTGATTTTTAAGATACTTTGCAAAACTGCTTTGCTTCCTCCACTTTTATGTGGGTTCTAGGGATCAAACTCAGACAACACCACCTTTGGCCCACTGAACTAGCTCACCAGCCCCATTGCCAACCTAAAAAAAACTTACCTAATTACAGACAGACTGAGAAGCAGAAACGCCACACCAAGTTCTTTTGGAACAAGGCATATATTCCTGAAGGTACTTTAACCCAGTCTAATATCCGAACCCTCTTTGCATTTGTGTGTACATATACATATAATACATATAATATATATAATACAATAATATATATATATAATACATATAATATATATTAATACTAGACAGGATCCTAGGCTGGCCTTAAACTTCTGATCTTCTACCTCAGCCACCCAAATGCTGGGATTACAGACATGTCACTCCCAGCCCTTGATACTTTTATAATAATCCAGAGAAGTTTAATTTTTATTACTTTCTTTAGATACATTTTAAGAAGTAAAACATACAGGGTGCTGTGGTATATACTATAAGTCCCAGCTACTTGGGAGACTGAACTAGAGAACTGAGATCATTAAGGCCTAAGAACAGTTTGGGCAGCATAGGAAGACTCTAGCTCAAAGACAAAACAAAACAAAAAAGCTGGGCATCTATAGCTTAGAATCTGTAATTTCAGCTCATAGGAGGCTGAGACAGGAAGACAGCCATGACCTGCCAGACTATCCTTTGAAAGACAAACAAACCGATAGGGCAGGAGAGAGAGCTCCAGGACTAGATTTGATTCCCAGCACCTATAAGGTAGCTGATGACCATCTGCAATTCCAGTTCCCGGGATCCAACATCCTCTGGCCTTTGTGGACATAGGAATGTATGTGGGGCAGATAAACATGCAGGGAAAAACTCATACATACTTAAAAAAAAAAAAAAAAGAAACCCAGACAACACAAAAGTGTTAAATCTAGCAGCATAAAACCCGTATCATAGCCAAATGGTATTTACTCTACTAATGTATAGATGTATTTTTGTTTTTCTGACTACTTCAGACTGACAGCATTTTACACACAAGCTAGGCGAGTGCTTAACCACCAAGTTACAATCAATATAATAAGCAAAAGGGGGTCTTTAAAATCTCGTTAAATGTAAGTTATCACAAAAGCTCTTGTCCTTGGTGGAAAACACAAAGCATCTTACTAGTCACCTACACTCAGGGCATGTATAGAGGCATGTCCGGCTCCTTGCTGAGAAGGATCATTTCTCTGTGCCATGATGGTGGCTCCTATATCCTCCTGCTGTTTCCCAAGTACCAAGAGTCCAAGGCATCATGGCGGTAGCCGTAACTGGCAGGTCAAGGTACCCTTTCTCTAGACAGAATGAGGCCACTCTGGGGAAGGGACCTCTGATTTGGAGATTTGGGGAGCACCGATCGCCAGTCGCTCAGATCGCAGCCAACCAAGTGCAGCTCTTGGTTTTCCACCCTCAGGCCTCCTTATCGCTGGACACAGTACCACATAAAGCTCTCTGATTTTTCATAAACACGTTGTAGACTGCAGGATAGTGTTCTGTCCTTTCAGAGTTCTTTAAGCTGGCATTTCGGCTGTGCCTTTAGAATCTGTTTCAGCATTCTAAAAGGCCAGCACAGTCGGCAGCTGCATTGGTCATGGGTTCATTCTCATTTCTTTAGTTGTGTGGCTAGAACTTTGTTCCTATGGATCAGGCATCCCTTAAGCCCTGCATAATTAGAGCTGATACTTAATGGCAGGGAAAAACAAGTCCATTTGAGTGTCTCTCTGCCCTGCTCCTTTTTCTGTTTAGTATTGACAAGGTCTCATGATCCTCTGACCTCAGTTGCCCAAAGGATGGATTACAGATATGAACTACCATGCCAACTTTTTTCCTTTCTAACTAAAGTTTTGCTTTTGGGGGTGGCGGTGGTAGTGATTGTCTTGCCCAACATACAAGAGGCTTTGAGTTAGGTCTCCGTGACACATAACCCAGACATGGACAAACTGCTTTTACATTCATGCTTAGGAGGTGGAAGCCAGAGGGTTAGAAGTTCAAGGTTGTCTTCAGCTATATAGGACATTTGAGGCCAGCCTAGGCTAGACTTTGCCTCAAAAAATTTTTATTAATAAAGGAAAAGTTCATTTGAATTAATTTTATTTTTTTCTGGTTGTTGTTTGAGACGGGCCAGCTTGGCCTTTAACTTGTTATGTCACTCAGGCTCTTTGGGCCTCTTGGCATCCTGAATGAGTGCTGGCAAATAGACGCTGGCCATCACGCCTAGCTGAGCTTGAGGCTCTGCATGTTTGCTCTAACAGAATTGTTCCTTTTTCTTTCCCACAGCTTTGGGATCGAGCTCAAGGGCTTTGACGAGTACTCTAGCGCTAGCCTACTCTTACGGTGCCCACTACTAGTCTATCACACTAGATCCATTAAAAGAATAAATTGAAAGCTATGGATTTCCCTCTGGGTTCTATTTTAGTAGCAACTCAGGGTTTGTTTAATTTAGCCACTATACTTTATGTATAATGTTCCACATTAAATAACTAAAATAGAATTGGGATCTCAAGTTTTTACAGAGCTTCTCTTTCTCACAGAAGGGATCGTCTGTTGAATAGAGCCCTGGGTTTGCTGCTGTGGACTCAGCCTGCTATCAAGCACCCAGTTGTTCTCCTGAAACTACCGTCTTCACTCAGGCCAGTGCTGCTCTGCTGCTCAGTCAGCCTTAGGAGCAACAGTAACTCCATCAGTCTTTGTAAGTGGTTCTTCCCACAGGGCTTGCACCCGACACTGTGGCCACCTTGGTACCCTAATACACAGGTTCGGCTTGACTTGGACTGGCAGAGTTAGTCTTTCACTGCCTCTTCCCCAGCAGCTTTTCCTGCTAACAAAAGTTTCAGATGTACCAACTTTTATGAGTGTCCACTTAGCGGTCTTTTATTATTCTTGGTGCAGGGAATTGAACCCACAGCTTTGCCCTTTAGCCAAATTCTTTACCTGGACTACATCCTCAGTTCAAAAAAATTTTAAAACCAGGCATTCTTTAAACAAACGATCTGAAAACTTTAAGTAAAGGACTGTGTATGTCTCCTCTAGGCTTAAGTGAGAGCAGCTCAGGCTTGGTGACATTCCTTTATGGGTGGAGTGAGGAGGCAGTGTGCCCTGGCCTGAGGTTATATAAAGGGTTCATCACTGACTGGCATGGGAGACTTTGTAGAGTAGCCTCCCTTAAGTTCCCAGAGCTCTTCAGTGGTATAGCTGTTTGTGAGTTGCCTGTGCTGTGGGCAGGACTCTTCATGGTGTAACTGCCTATATGCCATACAAGGTATTTCCTGGTGGTGTAGCTTGAGTCATTTGTAGTCCTGTACGTAACCCCAATGAACTTACTGATGCAGCAAGCTGGATTTGGATGGAATCTTATTTATTTGGTTTGTTGTTACCCTTTCCATCTGTGTGAATAGATGCTTCTTCCTATCTCCCCAGGAAAAGTCACAGGACAAGGAATACATCTGGCTTTGCAGGCCAAGCAGTCTCTGTTGCATATTTTATAACTGCCATCACAGCAGGAAAGAACTTGTAGGCAGTGAATGGGTGTATCTAACTTGGTTCCACTGTATTTCTAACTTCCAGTGTAGACCATACCATGTACCTTCTCATCACATCACAGAAATGTCAGGGAAAACTCACTAATATACTTTATTAACTGGTCTGTTACATCTAAAAGGTTAATCTATCATGTTACCACAATTTTGGAATATAAATACTTTCAGCTAATGTTATGTCTATGAAAGATACAAGATAAGCACCATTAATTTATCTTCATTCATCAGGAGCCTTAAACAGGACAGCGTTAGTCTTATATTTCTCTGCAATCTCTCTGATATTTTCCAGAAGATCTTCAGACATGCATTCTTCATATTCTCTGTTAGCTTTAGCAATCTGTTCTTCAAGATGTTTCTAGTGAAAACAATTCAAAATTCACAACATTAGTTTTATTTCAAGTGTGATATTTACATATAAGAATGACATTTATAAATTGAGAAAAGAACTATGTAGATGTAATGGTAGAGGACTGTAATCTCAACACTTGAAAGGCTGAGGCAGGAAAATCAATCTGGGCTGCCAAATAAGACCATTTCAAAAGAAAAAAAGGCCTCACACCTGGCTACCAGCTCCACGCTATCCTGTGCAGGGCAGGCTGGCATTGGGCCTAAGGTGAGCAGAACAAATCTACTAGCCAAGAGTCAGGGCAGAAGTGATGATGGCCATCAGCCTGCAGCAAACAACCACAACTGAAGAGGACAGGCTCGCCGCCAACCTGCCCCTAAGTTTTGATGGGCCACACCCAACAGGCAGATTAATGTCTGGAATGCTCATGGAAGAGATGAGAGAATCAGGAGAACATTCTGGGAGCTACAGTTGAGAAACTGTCTGCCTATTCTTATGGAGAGCTCTCTAGTCACCATGTTCTTCATGATGAATTCTGCCCTAAGCCCTGACTTCGAGCATTTTCCATGAGATCCATATAGTGACTCCTGTTGTATTCATTTTCCTGACATGCCTTTACTGATCTGTTTGTGGTGAGACTTGTCTAATTGGAGGTTGCCTTCCCACTCAACAGTGTTGCCATTTGCATGGAAAAAATTTAAAGCAAATAAAACTAAAAAGAATATTCTTATATTCTTATGCATTCCATTTTATTTTTGTTTTGCTTTGGTTGGCTGGTATTTTAAAACAGGGTTTCTCTGTATAGTCCTGGCTGTCCGGGAACTGCTCTGTAGACTAGGCTGGCCTCAATCTCACAGCCTTGAATGCTTCTGTCTCCCAAGTGCTGAGGTTCAAAGCACATATGCGCTACCACCACCTGGCTGCACCCCATTTTCTTAACATTTTCCCTTCTCTTCTCCAGAGATAATCATTTGGCTAACTGATGTGCTCTTTAATACCCCGGATCCTCTCAGGGTTATGTGTGTATTTATAATATGCAGTCATTTCTGCAGATGATGTAGCCCTGGCATCCTGGAACTCACTTTGTAGACCAGGCCGGCCTCGAACTCACAAAGATCCACCAAAGTCTGCCTCTAGAGTGCTGGGATTAAAGGTATGTGCCACCATGCCCCGTGACCATTGTTTTTTGCCGCTGACTTGTTTCTATTGTTTTTAAAGATGGGTCATCACTCTAGCTCATGGTGGCCTGGAAACCATGTTGATCTTGTTGCTTCAGGTTCTGGAGGGCTAGGAGTACAGTCAGGTACCACCATCATGCCTAGTGGCGGCCTGCTATTTCACAGTTCTGTTATGTCGATGCATACAGCCATAGTTTTATTCATACATTGCTGGATCATAGTCACATATTTTTTCATTGTTAATACATTTTTATATTTTCCTAGGTACTTAAGGTTGAATTATTACACTCTGCCCAGATAAATGTCCATGACCCAATTCTAGGAACCTGAGACTGTGTTGCACAGCAGAAGGATTTTTGTTTTCTTTGATTTGTTTTTGAGACAGTGTCTCCCTTTGTAGTTTACACTGGTCTTAAACTTGTGATGCTCTGGCCAGGCTACCTAGCGTTGGGATTATCATCCTGTGCTGTTCATTACACCTAGCCTTAAGCAAAGGATCTTGACATTCCAAGCACTGGAATTTCAGGATGTGCTGCTACGCTGGCTAAGAAGATTCAACTTAATTTTATCAAGAGTTTCTTTTTGTATCTCCCTTAAAAACATTTTATAACCTGTGAGTTGCAAAGATAGTCTCACAATCTAGCCTCATCTTACGTTCAGTCTATCTGGACCCGAGTTCTGCGTAAGGGAGGATCCAACACCATCAACAAATGTTTCCCTCAGCATTCTGCAGTACTTCCTTCTCAAATACTGATCTCATTCCTATGTTCATACATCTACTTCTAAACTTTTTATTTCAGACAGGGTGGATATGAACTCATAGCAAACCTCCTGACTCAGCTTCCTAAATGCTGGAATTACAGGCATGGGCACCATGTCTGACCTACTCCCACCTGCTTTATGTGTGGTGTGTGTGAACATGGGCAAAACACTACTTTATAAATATACAATGGTCTCTTGTAACCTTGCCACATCGGTAACCAAGATTCTTCTAATAAATTACAATTTTCCAAAAAAAAAAAAAAAAAATTGTAATTTAGTTCTTATAGAGACAAAGTAGAAAATGTCTCTTAGAATTCAGTAAAGCCCTCCATACTTACCTCCAAAGACCCTACATGTGTGGCAACCATCTCTAAAAGACGCTGTAAGTTATTTCCCACCTTTCTCCTTTCTTCAGTGGTGGTCTGCACAACTAATTGGTATCTACACAATTAAAAAAAAAAGACAATTGTTTGATGTCTAGAAAACAAATGAATAAACCAGCACAATGTAGAAACCTGAGAAAAATGCAAAATTTGCATTTACTTATGTTACCATTTTCCCTGAGAATATTTGGTGAATGCAGAAAGCCTTACCTGGTAGAATCCATCTAAATTCCATATACAATAAGCACATCAGCTGCCTCAGTTCACTGCTTATGGGGTCAGCTTCCCTGGTGCTAATACCTTCCATCCCGTTCAGAAAGACCTTCCACCTCTTAGCCCAAGTGCTAGGCCACAATGCCTAGCTTTGTAGGTCTTCTTAGTTGAAGAGTTCCATGTTTATTGTATTACTTATGTACTTCTTAACTATTTAAGATGTATCAAGCTGGGTGTAGTGGAGCACGCCTTTAGTTCCAGCAATGGCAGGTATGGATCTCTGTTCAAGGCCAATTGCTCTATAAATGAGTTTCAGAACAGCCAGGGCTGCAAAAACAAAACCCCCAAACCAAACCAGTAACAATAAAATTTACTTGTTTCCAGGCATTAAAAGCCATTTAATAATCTAGTTGGGCAATAACTATAATAATGGCAGCAGGTTTCTTACGTTTTAAGTTTTTCTACTTGAATTCTTTAAATCTTCTCATTCTTTGCACCCCACATAGCTTTATAATAGGAATTAAAGGAAAAACAAAACAAAACAAAACATTTTGAGACAGGGTTTCTCTGTCCCTGGCTGTGTAGCCTTGGCTGTCCTGGAACTCGCTTTGTAGACCAGGCTGGCCTTAACTCACAGAGACCTGCCTGGCTCTGGCTCCTAAGTGCTGGGACTAAGGTATGTGCCACTGCACCTGGGCAGATCCAGTTTTACGAAGTGCAAAGAATCCTATCTGGTGAGGTGAACTTACTCCCGCTGGACAGACTCTAGCTCATCCATGGCTTCACTGAGGCCCTCATTTACAGCGCTCTCTAGCAGGTGTTTGTGTTTCTCCAGGGACTCAAGCTCATTGGCACACTTCTCATCTTCTTCCTCAGCTTCCTACAGGAAAAAAAAAAGTCATTTTCCTTGAAATGCATCTTCCATTTGCTCTAGGTATACTAAAAAAGTATAAAGCATTTAAATAACATAATGTTGCATCATTTGTATTCCCAAGGTGTTGACAGTCTTCTTTAACTATTCCATTGGGGATTCCGAATGAAAAACACAAATGTGCCCTTTCCAAGAGGATTCTGGTAGCAATTCATTCAACAGTGTTCTAAGTCTAATTTATAAAAAACCTGGAATTTTGATTAAATTTTTCACACAGGTATTAACTATGTATAACAAAAGTAGTTCCAAATCTCAGATTCCTAGGTTTGTGAAGATGAAGTGTGGACTTATAAAGTCCTTCATTTAAGTGCTTCCAAGAATAAATTTAGACTTTCAAGATTAAAACATAATAAAAGTAAAAATGATCATTAAATACCTCAAATCTCATGTGCAGTCAGATTTTGTTTTACATTTTCTAAATTTTACACTGCTGAAAAAAAAAAACATTCTATATATGATATAGTACAAGGCAAAAGGTTGCATTCTGTTAGTTTAACCAAATAATAGTATAGTTGGAAGTTTTAATTATGTAAGCCTTTAATCCCAGTACTCTGGGAGGCAGAGACAGGTGGATCTTGTGAGTTCAAGCCCAGGCTGGCCTACAAAGCCAGTCCAGAACAGCCAAGGCTACACGGAGAAAGCCTGTCTCAAAAAACAAGAAAGGAGAGATTATAGTTTTATTACATATTTTTGAGACATGGTCTTGCTATGTGGCCAGGTGGGGTCTCAACCCTGTGCCAATCCTCTCATCAGGGTCTTCCAAGTCCTGAGCTTACAGGGACGACTTCCCAGCTGGCTTTCTGGTTGAGTTTTGAGACTGCACCAGTGAGTGTGTGCCACCACATGCTGCTAAGACTTCAGAGTGACGCCAGAGTATGTGCACAGTCAGTCAGTCATGACAGAGCTCTGGCTAGGATGCACAAGTGGCTCAGGTCCTTACCTTAACTTTTTGTTGGTAAAGGTCATCCAGCTTTTGAACCTCTTCCTTCAGCGTCCTCACAATCCTCTTGCTTTCTGTTTTCATGGTGTTCAGCTTGGGGATAAAACTTTGGTTGAGAAATCATAACTAACACAAGACATCAAAATTTCGTTAGCATAAAATTTTATATTTTCTTTGATATATAACATTTATTTATTCACTGTGTATATGACTATTTCTCTAGCATGCATGTCTGTGTACCAAGTGTATGCCTATTGCCTGCTAAAGAAGAGGACATCAGAGCCCTAAAGACTGGAGTTAATGGATGGTTGTGCGCTGCCATGCGGGTTCTGGGTATCAAACCTGGGCCCTTCGCAAGACCAACAAGTACTCTTAACTGCTGAGCCAATTCTCCAGCCCTTGTTTTTCTTTTAACAAATTCCATTTTTTTTAAATTTTTTTTTTTTTAAGATTTACTTATTTATTATGTATGCAGTGTTCTGCCTTCATGTACGCCTGCAGGCCATAAGAGGGCATCAGATCTCATTGTGGATGGTTGTAAGCCACCATGTGGTTGCTGGGAATTGAACTCAGGACCTTTGGAAGAGCTGCCAGTGCTCTTAACCTCTGAGCCATCTCTCCAGCCCCAAATTCCATTTTTTTAAAGATTCTATTTTATGTGTATGAGTGTTTTGCCTGTTATGTATGTATGTATGTATGTATGTATGTATGTATGTATGTATGTATGTGTATGTATGTATGTGTACCTTGTGCATACCTGGTGCCCCTGGAGTCCAGAAGAGGACATCAGAGACATTGGAACTGGAGCTGCAAGTGGTTGTAAGCTGCCATATGGGTGCTGGCAACTGAACCTGGGTCCTCTGCAAGAACAGTAAGCGCTCTTTTACTTTCCAGCTCCAGCAGCTACTTAAATTTTTTTAAAACACAGATGTCAAAACATATATTAGGGAAAACACAGCCTCTTTAACAGATGTTGCTAAGAAAACTGGGTATGTACTTGTAGAAAAATGAAACTAGGTCCTGAGTCTTACCCTAAATGAAACACCGAAAATGGATCAAAGAACTCATGGTAAGACCAAAAATGTTAACTAGGGAAGACAGGTCACCTACATCCTACATCAACAATCTCCCTATGCAGAGGCAGGAACCTCAAAAAGACTTTAACAGCCCAGGAAATAACCCCAAGGACTGACTAATGGCATTATAGGGAATAACAAAACAAAACAAAACTGCATAAGAACAGAAATAACCCACAACTGAAGAGACAGCCTACAGAATGAGAAATCCTTGCCAATTATGTATCAGATATGTAAGAAACATATGTATGTTTGTACTATGTATGAAACATTAAAAATTAAACATCAAATCTACTACATGAGGTAGTGAAGTGAATAGAGTTCTCAAAGGTAGACATAGTTATGGCCAATGATATTTGATGAAGGGTTCAACATTATAAGCCATGAGGGAAAAGCAAATTAAAGATGACTTGTGATTCTACCTTACTTGCTTAGAATGACTTTCATCAAGAAAACAAATGACAACAAATGCTGACAAGGATGTGGGGAAAGAGGAAACTCGTGAGAATATAAATTATTGCAGCTATTATGGAAATCAGTACTAAGGTTTGTCTAAATTAGAAAGGGGTAGGAGAGCTGGCTCAGTGGTTAAGAGCACTGGCTGCTCTTACAGGGGAACTGGGTTTGGTTCCCAGAACCATATGGGAACCAAACTGTCTTAACTGCAGTTCCAGGAAATCTCACATCCTCTTCTGGTTTCTACAGGTACCAGGCATATACATGGTGTATATACATCCATGCAAGAACAATACTCACACATATATGTATTCAGGATGAATACATCTCTGAAAACTACAGCCAGAACTATCATATGATCTGGCCATCTCACTTCTGAGTGCACACCTGAAGGATTCTAAATCCTACCACATCGTACTTGAACATTCATGTTTATTGCTGCAATATTCTCCAGAGTTGGGAAGTGGAGTCATTCTAGATGTCCATCCACAAAATGACAAATAAAATGTTGTTTATATAGACAATGTAACTTTATTCATCTACATTAAAAAGATCATGGGACTGAAGAGATGGCTCAGCAGTTATGAGCACCTGTGGTTCTTTCAGAGGACAAGAATTTGATTCCCAATACCCACACCAGGTGGTTCACAACCAACTGTAACACCAGCTTCAGGAGGGTCCAACATCTGTGATCTCTATGGGTACCTGCACTCACATGCATATATACATATTTAGAAGTAATAAAAAATATGACATTTTCACAAGATGGGTCAAATTGTAAATCGTTTTGTTAATAGAAATAAGTTGCATTCAGAAAGAAGTTGCATCCAGAAAGACAGACAGTATGTGTTTTCTCTCCTATGTGGAACCCTGATTTAAGTTTCTATGTGCAAGTGTGATTGTGTATGTACATGTATGGTTCATGAAAGCAGAGGGCTGTGAGAGGGAAAAAAAGATCCTAAGGGGTGTGGGACAGGGAGGGGGCTTGAGAAATGGTAATAAAATATTGTACCAGCAGAGCAGAAAGGAGGCTGTTATGGGCAAGGGAAGAGCAAGAGTGGATACGGGGAAGGGGGAGGCAGCACAGTAGAAGAACAAAGCATGTGTAAAAAGCTGTGACGGAACCTACTACTTTGTAGCAGCAGATCTGCTAATGGACAATGTTTGTCCCTGCAGCCCTCTTCCCACTTGAAATGGCGTCCACAGGTGCGGTGCTATAGTAGCACTGGCAACATCTATTACAGTGCCAGGCAGATGGTCATGCGTAAAGTGTTTGTTGTGCCAGTTGTGGCTGCGCAAGCAGCACTTAGGAGGCTGAGGCCTGAAGCCTGCGCGTTAGAGACTTCTGTGCTAAGCGAGGCCCTGTCTTAAATAAGGCACACATATTTGCTAAACACATCTCAGTGGCTGTTACTTAGCTTTGCATTTTATGTCTTGCAGGGATTGGTTTAATTTTCTTTTTTATGATGCCTTTTATGTTTAACACGGTGACAAATAATTTCCATGTCCTAAAGTCATCCAACCTTTAATATCTGAAAACACTCATCTGTAAAATAATTTATTAATGGAATCTTTTTTGAGAGCTAATTTTTTTTCCCGCTGGTTACTTGACTTCATTTTGAGCCAATTTTGAGATTTTTATTGTTTCTGCTGTAATCCAGTTTATCAGTTTTGTAACTTTTTTTTTTTTTTCCTGAGACAGGTTTTTGCTATACAAGCCAGGCTGGTCTTGAACTTGCTACGTAGCTCAAGCTAACCTTGAACTCAGGATCTTCTGCCTCAGCTTCCAGAGTGCTGGGATTACTGAGATACGCCACCATGTCTAGCTCATCAATTGTCATTATTTAAATAATTTTTGTGTATGGGTATTTTCTAAGCATGTGTACATCAGTGTGGCCTGGAGTTTCTGATGATTGTGAGCCTCCATGTGGGTGTTAGGAACTGAACATAGGTCTTTTGGAAGAACAACAAATCCTCTTAATTGCAGAGCCACGTTGTAGAGGATTTTAACCCAGCAACATGGCTACTCTGGTGGGAACTTTATTCCCTCTGGCTGGAACATGGTACAGCCTTAGTTCACACCTTCAACCCCAAACAATGAAGGTAAAGTTAGTTTGTAGAAGAAAGCAACTTAAGAGTGCAGGGACAGAGAGAGACAGTCAGTGTGGAGGCAGTGTAGTGAAGTTGAGTTGGTGGCAGTGCAGAGACAGTTTTACTGGGACAGTTATACAGAGACAGGTTACAGAGAGAGAGAAAACAAGCTAGACATGGGTGAAGACAGAATAAGCCAGAGAATGAGAAGCAGCCAGAAGATTAGTTGCTAGAGTAAGTATGAGGCCAAACAGAACAATTCAGTCAGAAGCCAAGAGAAGCCAGTTTCAATCTGTCAGCTTACAGAGGCATTTGAGCCAGAACAGCTGAGTTGAACCAGCCAGTCAGAGTTCAGAAAGAGCTAGAAAGGGTGAGCTAATGCAGCAGTAAGTCTCAGAGGTTGAAAACATTCTAGGCCTAGGTTACTGTATGGAAGCTAGAAGCTTCCAGGATTAGGCCCAGGTTAGCAGACAGAGGCAGTAAGCCTCCAAGACAATTACATCAGCAAAGTTACTTTTATACCACCTCTCCAGCCCATCAATTATTATGTAAATAATTATTTTATGTACACCAATGTTTTGCCTGTGTTTATGTATGTGTAGCATATGTTCATGAAATTCAGAACTGGAGTTGCAGATGGTTGTGAGCTACCATGTGGGTGTCAGGAATTGAACTCTGGTTGTCTGTAAAAGCAACCAGTGTTCTTCACTATTAAGCCAACTCTCTAGTTCCATATATATGTAATATATATATTATATATATGTACGTATGTGTTAAGCATGGGCTCATGTAACCCAGGTTAGCCTCGAACACTGGATTTTCTTGCCTCTCAAAAAAAAAAAAATTTTTTTTTTAACTTTGGTCAGAGTGCAGGGAGTCTTATGGAGGAAGAGAGGAGTGGGAATAGAGGGACATGGAGGGGACAGGAGCCCCGCAAGGAGACCAACAAAACTAAAAGATCTGAGCCCAGGGGGTCCTGCAGAGACTGATGCACCAACAAAGGACTATGCATGGAGAGGACCTAGACCCCCTGCTCAGATGTGGCCAATTGGCAGCTCAGACTCCATGTGGATCTCTGAGGGAGGGGATCAGGGGCTGCCTCTATCATGTACTCAGTTGCCTGCTCTCTGATCACTTGTCCCTGGTGATGCAGCCTTGCCAGGCCACGGAGGAAGAGGATCCAAGCAGTCCAGATGAGGCTTAACAAGCTATGGGCAGATGGCAATGGTGGAGAACTCCCCTTTCAGTGGACTAGGGGAAGGGGATGAGGGGAAAAAGGAGGAAGATGGGACTGGGGGAGCTGAGGGAGGGGGCTTCAATAGGGATATATAATGAATACACAGTGACGAAAAAAATTTAAAAAAGATGGATTTCTATATATACCGTATTTCTTCATAATTCAAACTAACTTGTGCTTTTTCTAAACATAGTTCATTTTTCATTTTAAAATTTTCTGTCTTTTGGGGACTGGAGAGATGGCTCAGAGGTTAAGAACACCCGCTGTTCTTACAAAGGTCCCGAGTTCAATTCCCAGCAACCACATGGTGGCTCAGAACCATCTATATTAAGATCTGGTGTGCAGGCAGAATATTGTATAAATAATAAATAAATCTTTAAAAAATAGTTAAAAAAATAGTTAAAATTTTCTGTCTTTTATTTTTTTGAGCTAGGGTCTTACTCTGTGGTCCAGCATGGCCTGAAACCTGCAATCCTCTTGGCCTCTACTTTCAGCATGCTGGAATTGCAAGTACAAGGCAACACAACTGGTCTCTAGCTTACTGAAGAAAAGAAAAGGTCCTCCTAATACATTGTGTTCCCCCCCACACCTCTTTTTTTGTTGTTGTGGTACCGGGGATTGAACCCAGGACTGCAGGCACATGCTAAGAAAATATTTTCCGCCCACACTGAAAACACCTCTCTGGGGATTACTTGGATAGTTACTTATGAAATGCCACAGGTTTATTTATAGATTAAAAACAAAACAAAACAAAAACAAGTTTCTGTTTTGAGACAGATAAATACATTAAATCTTGGCTAGAACAGTTCTGGAAAAGTCGAGTTAACCAGGGCTTCATCATTGTTTACAATCATGCAAGCACAGTTTGAGTGAACTTGAAGCAGTCTTAACATTAAAAGTAACTAAATACATGGTGTCTCAGGGTTACAGATGGCATTATGTCTCCAGCGTCTTGTCAATCCTCCCTGTCAGCCTCTGAGTGCTGGGATGACAGGCTTGCACCACCACATCCAACTGAAAACTACTTTAATAAACTTCCCCAGGCACCTGGCTCATTCTAAGACTTCACAGCCCGGAATGAAACACTTGGCAGGAAACCTCTTAACTGGTCCCAGCTGACTGGCTTCTCAGCACTAATGACACATACTAAGTTTAAGAAACCCACTACAAATCTACTTGAACATAAGAAGGACACTAGTTTATGTCAAGAATCAAGCAAAGAAAATTGAGTTTCTTCTACTTTATCATAGTGGTAAATGAAGCCTCAAATGGTTAAAGAACTTAGTTCCTTTATATGAAGCTGTCAAGATTAGCACCAACTTTCATTTTTCATAATTTTATTAAAATTTATGGAAAGCATAGGCAGACAAATTTCTGAGTTCAAGGCAGCCTGATTTATAGAATGAATTCCAGAACAGCCAGATCTACACAGAGAAACCCGTCTCAGAAAAAAACAAAAACAAAAAACCAAAAAGTTAAACTAGTACTGCTCAGAAAGCACGGGTCACACTCGTGTTAGGCTTTAGTCACTTTGTGCCACACACTTACTTGTTCCAAAGCATCCTCTAGGCCGATCTTTTTATTCACAGCTCTGCTAATTTCTTCTTCATTTTCATTCAAGAGTTCTTTGAGAGGTAACTAGAAAATACATAAAAATGTGGTGAAAAGATATCGAATTATAAAACTTTTAACATTTTCAAACTAATACACCATTGATGAGAAAATACCTTTGATTCTTTTGAAGGCAAGGCTTAGGAAAAGAAAAAAAATGCTGGTCTCAACCTTCATCCTCCCAAGTGCTAGAATTACAAATGCTTGACACATGTCTATGTGTTTATATGCATGTACATGCGAGTGCAGGTACCTGCTGAGCATACATACTGGAGCTGGAGCTCTAAAGTGCTGTAAGCTGACTGATGTGGGTGCTTTGCACAGAACCTGGGTCCTCTACAAGAGCAGGACACACTCTTAACCATAAGCCATCTCTCCAGCCCAGTCCCCATTTCTCTTAATACCTTGCAAATACCTTGTCTTCTAATCTACTGATTTAATTTCAACATTATATTTCATATATATATATAGTCACTGTTTTTTATTTAAATATTTATTTATTTATTTTATGTATATGAATGTGCTATCTGCATGTACACATGCCTGCCAGAATCTGGCACCAAATCACGCTATAGATAGTTGTGAGCTGGGAATTCAACTCAGGACTGCTGGAATAGCAGAAAGTGTTCTTAACCATTGAGCCATCTCTCCAGCCCCCTATTTCACTGTACTTTTTAAAACTGAGATAATACTTACTTTAAAATGACTAAATAGAAATAGTTAAGTAAAATTAAACTTAACTTGAATCTAAACTTAATGGATTTAGTATACTTGCAATGTTATTCAGGTTACTGCTGGCCTCTAATTTTAACCAGTTCCTTTCCTGGTGCTGTGCATCAAACCCAAGACCTTCTGCAACAAATATGGGCTCTGACAATGACTGTGGATGCACAAGCCTCTGACCCACAAATTTGAGGCCATTCTAGATTACAAGTTAATTTCAGCAAAATAAAAATAGGGTATGTGTTGGTATAATATGCTTGTGGAATGTATATAATTTACCCTTGTTCATTCAAACACTAATTTCTCTACCCCACTATCTGGTCTCAATCCAGACATTGCATTGTGATGCTTATTTTAAGCATCACCTGTCTCAAGTTTGTGTAAACATGCCACCATTTGTTCTCTATATTGTCAATTAAACAACCAGCCCCAAATCTGAACAATGGAGAGAATAGGGTGGGACATCCTGGTCCAGAGGGGAGGAGAAGAAAATGAGGAGAGTAGGCAGAGGTCGGCAGGAGAGAACTTGGAACCATGAGGAGGGATGAACTGGACCTAAGATGTGACTAAAACCAAGTATAATAGGTAAAATCTGAATGGGAGGAAACTATATGGGCTTGGAGGTTTAGGATGGAGTAGCTATTGCCCAGCATTGTACTCTAGGTTAACTAAATAAATCCCTGTCTCTGTGTGGTGATTTGGGTATACAGCTGGTTTAGGAGTAAGCACTATTTAACTAAAAGATAAATCAATAATAAATATTAACTACCCACAACAGATGTGCAAGACTGCTCAGTGGGTAAAGCCCTTGTTGTGTAAGTCTAGAGGCCTGAGTCTGAGCCCCAGAAACCACTTAAAGGTGGAAAGTGAGAGCTGACCTCCACATGTATGTCATTGCATGTACTCTTCTATATACCCCTCAACACGCTAAAAAGAGCAAAACAAATGAAAACCCTTGCTGAACCCCAAATCACACAACACAACAAAGAGCTACCCTAGCCCCCTCCTGTTTTTAAAAGATTCAACATCTTTTTATATCTCTTTTTCAAGTAGCTAGGTTGACTGATGAATGGTATCATTCCTAACTGTATCTATTTTCTCTTTTTGGATTTATTTTTTAATTATCTATGTGGCTACATGTGCATGTTCAACACACATGCCTGCAGGGGTCAGAGGCAAAATCCCTGGAGCTGGAGTAACAAGTAGGTGTGAATTGCTGTAGGTGCTAGAATTCAATTTGGGGTCTCTGTAAAAGCCCCACACATTCTTAATGACTGAGCCGTCGCTCCAGCATCCTATTTCTACTCCCATTGTTCTGTTACTTTTTAAAGTATTTCTAGAGCTGAGAGTAAGGTAAATTTCTTTCTTTCTGAACACATTCTCTGTACCTGAATTATCTTTTACAAGATTATTTGATTGACACAATTATTTTATTGCTCCACTAATATAAAACCATTCAAAGCAGTGGGGGGAATCTAGTTGGCTTGATCCATTTAAGCAGCACCTGTTCATCAATAAACTTTCTCAATCTCTGAAAAAACAAGGTTCTACTTTGTGTTTTATCTCTAGCACACGACTGGTCGGGAACAGGTTATACACAACAGATCCATGGTGGATGAATTCACCCATCCAAGTACAAAACCAACCAAACCCTGCTTAGCTTCCAATTGGATGAGATCAGCAGGTTCAAGAGACTAGATGAGAAACTCTCAAGGGAAAAATGCATAGCGTTTGACTCTTACACTTTTGTATTCAAAAGCTAATTATTTCAAAGGTGGCATTTTAGTACTGACAATAAAACTACAATACTTATGAATAATCTAAAAATTTTAATATAGCAATAAAAATTTTTTCTTCTCAAAAATATCTCCTTGGTCATTTCAAAATTAAGCCCTTTTTGTTGTTGTTATTTTGCTAGTGTTGCTCTCCCAAGAGGGTCATAGGTAGCTTGAAACAAAGGTTACCTCAGATTGTCAACACAGTCCTGATACCTGTCTTATTTGTAAGCAAGTTTCTTTGTGGATAGTTGGATGAAGTAAAGTAGGTCCAGAGGAAAAGGCTTTTTAAGTTCAAAAGTCACATATGAAACAAGATTTCTGCCCCTCAGAAGGAAGAGCTCAGCTCAGTCAGTGTCTTACTCCTTGTCTATGCTAGGTCACAATAAACTGGAGTTTGAACACATACTTACATACACTTGAGCCCTGTATTTGACAAGGCATTTGGCACCAGCCTCAGGATTAAACTTAATTTCAAAGTCATAGCCTCTGGAATTCTCAGCACCTTTGGGGATAAGCTTTAATTTTCTAGCCAACTTGTGGTACTCTGCTAACTGTGCTTCAATCTGGTAAAGAGAACAAAGAGAGATGTTAACAGTTATGCAGCCCTTTACCATGGGGCTCTCAATGGCCATTTCTGCAATTCTACACAAGCTGTATGCCAGCTTCTGGTAGTTTGATAAATAAAAGATAGCAATTCTAAAATATGTAAATGAAAGGTCTGTAAAATAACTAAGTCTGTAATTAGTTGGCGAGCAGCATACCACTGTTCTTTCATTTACTCCACATAATTTAGATTAAGTCCATGTTTCTTTATCAACGAAAATATACCTTCTCAAACCTAGAAAATTAAAACATTTAATTACCAAAAATAAAGGAAGTAGATCATTTATATTTCAAAGTGTTAACTATATTGAAAAAAATTTAGTAGTTTGTATTTCTTTGTGTCTTTAAGAGCTACCTCTGAATTACGTTACCAGAAAGGTGTTCTTTCCCTCTACTAGAGCCCCTAACTTCCTATACTCTTTCAGATTATGACACGACATATTTGTTCACTTTTACTAGCTGAATGCAAGCTCTATAGAAGCAGATATTTCCCCTCCCTGGCCTGAGAGCACAGCCTGGCAGTCTTCCCCCCCTTCCCTTTGTTGCCCTCTTGTAACACAGTGACTCCCTAGGACCAACTGGTAATTTATGTTCTACTGCTTCTGGCTCCTGTATAGTCTAAGAAAAAGCCAAGAGTTCACGGCATATGTCTGGTTTCTTGCTCCCACAGTAAACACTCCTGATCTTTAAACATAGCTGCAGCGTAATCATTCATAGGAGTGCTGGAAGGCTACTACCAGAGTTGAAATGTGGGGCAAACGTTTAGTAGAGAAGAACGTTACAGGTGAACTGTTCAGAGTGTGTTTGTTTCCTAGTGGGATCCTTTGACACTGCTCTTAGCCAGCTCTCAGGTACCCAACACACTTAGCTTTGCTCACATGGCCAGAGCTGGGCCCCTCCGTAGGCCACTGCTTACCTACTTACTAGACTTTCTTTTCTTCTTTCAGTGTGTTTATCCAAATAAATCTGTTATTCTTTTTAGCTTTGTAGAACCAATGTTTACCTAGTCCAGAGACTTATAACCTTCCTCTTACACAGTACTTGAGATAGAATACCCTGAAGTAACTTCAGAGACACTGAGGCAGTCTAACTACCTTCATTTTTAAAGCAAGTGAAAGCTGAAAGGTTAGATGATGCAGACTATGCATGCAGACAGTAGCAAATTGCAGGCTAAAGCTATACCAAGGCTGACTAGATTCTAGGTTCAAACTTTGGGTGCCGCATCCTTTTCTTTGGGATTGGGGATTGATCCTGATATCCCAAGCATGCTAAGCTTGTACTCCATCACTGAGGTTTACTCCTAAGCAGTTCTTATAGATGTGTGTGTGTGTGTGTGTGTGTGTGTGTGTGTGTGTGTGTGTATATGCATATATCTTCTCCACACTGGGATGGAGCTTGCCTAAGAGTCAGAAAGATAATACAGATGACTACTCACACTGAACTGCTGACTCACTCTATGTTAGAATCACACACACTTCTTGCCCCTGCCCCGGGATTTCTTGTTTTGTTATCAGAAAACTGAGCTTATCTTAAATTTGACTGACATATATTGGGTGTTAATGAATTGACATAGGATATGAGCATTTATACTGTGACTTACGGCCTCTTTGCCTCTGGCGTATTTTAATTCCTCATTCCACATTTGTTGTTGTTCGGCCTCCAGGTCTTTGGTTAACTTATTAATGGTCTGCTGCAATTCATTTTTTTCATGATTTATTCTCTCAATGTCAGCGACTGAGTACTTCTGGTTATCAACAATATTCTGTAGTCGAGCGTTCTCCTGTTTTATTGTTTCACATTCTAGTTCTGCATTGGAAGAAGCACAATTTTCAAGTTTAATTTCTACAAAGAAACCGAAGCATCATGTAAGATGGCTGATGTTTACGCATTACTTCACGCACATACACATTGCTTTTGGGTAGCTGGTCCTACTTCATTAATGATGCCAGCCAAAACATCTACCGTTTTATCTTAGCCTCTTCCACACTGGCTTACTCCAGCTTCACAAAGAACTATGTCAAAAACATGGGCCTAACCAAGGTTTCATTCAAAACAAGCATAGGTTTGTCTCTGTTGACATTCATTTTAAATGCTTCTAATAGTCTTGTACAAGTTCTTTGCATTATTCAGAAATGTGGTTTTTATAGCACAATAGTTGGTAAGCTCTACCTCTGAGGTGGTTCAAGCAACTTTAAGCATGTATCGTGTATCTGCACAAAAGCACGACAGATCTTTCAGAATTTAAATATGACCTATTCATTTGTAGTCATACATGGCTTTAAGTAATCAAGTAAGTTAACATATTTAGAGAATTAAAACAAATGACAGATGAAATATTATTCTTTCATCCACTCAGCAATTTTTGAACAAAGTGTTCGCATAAGAAGCAGGAGGTATTAAAATGGTATGATTGGTAAAAGAATGGGGACCTAAGTTCAGATTCCCAGCACCCACATAAAGTTGGTCATGGGTATGCATCTGTGACCCTAAGGTTATGGGTGGAAGGTGGACCAAAGCGGATCCCTAGAGGTCAGCAGCAGCCAGCCTAGCTGAACAGATGAGCAGCAAGTTCAGGGAGAGGCCATGACTCAAGCTAAGGTGCAGAGTGATCAAGGAAGACCTTGATGCTGGTCTCTGGCTTACGCATGCATGCATAGACACACTGCACAAGTTCATATAAGCCCACACAAAGATGTACACAGGCCATGTACACAAACACACACAAGAACAAGTGATTATATGCTAATGAAAAGATAATATTAGTATTGGTTTAATTACATTGGGAGAGCGAGAGAATAATCTATGATAGAGAATAGCAGAGGATGTTGACCAGCGGACAAGGATACAATATTTAGAGTTCATTTATAGCAAACACGATATACATAATTGGATTATTTAGAAAATCTTGATTTTAGCACATACTATGTGACAATTAAAAGCCTTGATTTTATAGCTGATCAAATACACATATGAGGAGTTAAAGCCAAAACCCTAAAGATAATCTACACAATCTACATAGAATAGACAGAGCCTGGGAAATCCTAAAGAGAGTAATTGTAGAGTTCTAGGAAAACTGCAGCTGCTCATATATTTATTTTTAAACTGTAGTTTGGTGGCTCTGTGATTTAGTCAGCCTCTTCTGCTCTGCTCTGCTATCAGAGGTGGGCAAGCGATATGTATCATAGTATTTTCCAAAGCTCGACTACGGTTGGTATGTGTTCCCGAGTACAATGTTAGACACAGGACACACACAAGTCTCTTCAGCTGTGCTTCTGCTTCTACTGGAGGGTGCACGTTCAGGTTTCCATCTATGTACAATCAGTTTCAGCTGCTGCCTTGCTTTCATGGGCCTGCCTGAGGACGAGACATGAAGAGTCTAGTTCATTAGGACCAGTGAATAGCTCAGTGGGCAGAACCCTGACTGTCTAAGCCTGGCAAATGGGGTCTGATGTCCAGAACTATGTAAAGATGCAAGGAGGGAATAGACTCCGCAAGAGCTGTCCTTTTTCCTCCACATGTGTCCTGTGGCACGTCCTGTCTAAATGAGTTACAGTACTCAGTAAATGGCCATACAGCAACATCTCCTTATGTGGAAATAGTCTTTGTAGACGTGATTGAGAATGCTGATGTGAGACAGCCCTGGATTATGCAGGTGTCTGAAACATCGCCATGGCTGTCACTCTAAGATGGAGGCAAAGGGAGAATTCATGCAGATCGCAAGAGGATGTAGGGGCCAGAGACATGCTCAGCGGTTTGGATCACTTGTTGCTCTTGCAGAGGGCCAAGATTCAATTCCTAGCACCTACATGGATGGTTTATATCTATCCCCAACTCCAGTTCCAGCAGATCTGACAACCTCTTCTGACCCGAGGGCACCAATTACATGTGGTACACTTATATACATGCAGGAGAAACATTCATATTCATAAAATTAAAAAAAAAATCTTAAAAAAAAAAAAAGGAAAGGGGGTGGTGGCAATTTATAACCATAGTATTTGGGAAGCTGAGGAGGCAGGATTTTGAGTTGGAGGCAGGCTTGGGCTATGTATTAAAGCCCTCTGGAGGCTGAGGCAGGATGATCAATCCAAAGTCAGCGTGAAATACAAAGATAGTCTTAAAAAAAAAAAAAGAGGGAAAAAGAAGAGGATACAGAGAAAAGGCAATGGAAAGACAGAGGCAGAGATTAGAATGATGTGGACATAAATTCAGGAATATTGTCAGCCACAGAAGCTGAAGAACAGATTCTCCCTGAGTTCCTAGGCAAGCACAAATTTATTGAATCTCAGATTACATTTATAATAGTGATAAAACAAATTTATTATTATTACGATTATTTTGGGTTTTTTCCCGAGACAAGGTCTCACTGTGTAGCTCTGGCTTTCCTGGAATTCACCATGTAGACCAGGCTGGCCTCAAAAATCACAGAAATCCACCTGCCTCTGCCTCCCAAGTGCTGACATTCAAGGTGTGCACTCCTCTGCCTGGCTGAGAGACCAAATTCTGATTGTTCTCATCCATGAACTGTGTGAGCGTCTGCTTCAGGAGACTACTACAGAAAGAACTGAAAACCTGGTAGACGGCTATGGAAAGTTAGTATAGAAGGAAAAGATTACCTGCCTGTTTGACTTCTCTTACCATTAGCTTTGCTTACCTACTCTACCAATTTCTTCATCAAGACCACTCAGTTTCTGGTCCAGAATGGACGAATGAGACTCCAAGTTGCTCATGTATGCTTTATACTTTTGAACATCTGCTTGTAAGGAAGTTTTCAGTTTCTTCAATGATATGAGACGATTCTTTAAGGAAAGAACACGTTAAATTATTTTCACCTAGAAGCATTCTGTATTTTAAAGACAGTGATGTTATTTACACATATCTTAGAGGAATTTAAAAGAACTGAAAATAACTATGATATTTTATAACAGTTTAGGATAGGAAAAAACCAAGGAAAATGTAGAAACATAAATATTTAATATCTGATTACTTTGCAGAACAATCTGGGTGCTCCACTAAAACTGGAAGTTAAGCTACTACTATCAGGGATAGAGAGATGACTCAGGGTTAAGAGTACTGGCTGCTCTTCCTCAAGACCTGGTTTCGATTCCCAGCACCCATTAGTAGCTAACCACCACCTGAATCTTGAGTTCAGGGGACCTGACACCCTTTTCTGGTCTCCATGGGACCTGTTAACATGTGGTACATAGATATGCATGCAGACAAAATACCAATACACATTAAAAAAAAAACCTCATATTATCATCTTGTGTTTATGAAATCATGTAGGCTATACTGTACTTTATAAGCCAGTTTGTTACCATTCTGTTTTCACTAACTAAAACTCCAGCCTCTTGAGAACGGTGCTCCCTGCAAGTATATACTTCAGGGACCTTGCTCAAAAGATATGTAAACAGGCAAGACTCTTTCATCATATTCTGAGCATCATTAGTCCATGACTGAGAGAGCACAGGGAAAGCTATGCACCACAGACGGCACATGGTTCCACTGAAGCGTATTTGTTAACCCGTTTAGGAACACCTTGCATAAGAGTCTTCTGAAAGAGGCTCAAAAGCCTAAAGAGCTGTCAAGTGGGTTCAGAAACACTTTTACTAACCGGTTCTTTTTCTCTTTCTTGCTCCAGCCTTGCAATCTGCTCATTTAATGCTTTGTTTTCTGCTGCTAGTGATTCCAGCTTGGATGCATCTACCTTATATAAATCCTCTGGAAGCAAAGCACAAACATCTCATCAGAATCAACCTATAGTGTTCTTTAGATTTTCCCAATCTTATTCCCTTACTTCCCCAAACCACCAATGCAGCAGACACTGCTTTCTGTGATAGCCTTATTTTTGCTCCATGGAATAACCTGTTGCCCTTCCCCTGCTGGAGCTGACCTCCACAGCACTTGTCACTTGCCTCACAGCTCTTCACTTAATACCATTCCTTTCTATCTAACAGAACATAAGCTCTTGAGGCCAAGATTTTCTGTTCTCCATTAGTCTATTTTTGGTGCCTAACACAAACATTTGAGTAAATTAATTTATGTTTAATTACATAAAAACAAAGTAACTATATGTTTAGTAAGTAACTCACTGCTTTCCATATTAGATCAAAATGAATTTTCTTTGTGTGTGTGATGTATGTCATGAGTGTGCATGTAGAAGTCAAAGGCTGACAGTCATTTTCACCTTATGTTTTTAGATAAGGTCTCTGGCCAAACTACAGCTCCCTGATTTGGTGAGGGTGGCTGGTCAGCACGCTCTAGGGATCTCAAGACTCTCCCTCTCTAGCACTCGGGTCACAGTCCACTACTGCACTTGCTATTTTATGAGTGTGGCATCCAGACTCAGGCCCCCCTCCTTGTTGAGGATGTACTTTATTGACTGAACCATTTCTCTAGCCCCGAGATTTTTGCCTTCTTAAATTTATCCATCTGTTCCCTGTCCCATGTGCACAATCTGGAATTGTCCTCTTTGCTCTTTAGGATGGTATATTCCTAGGACATCCTAAAGAAATGCTTTTGTTTTTCCCTCTCACTCTTTGTGCCATGGATGTCAAGGTGATATTCCCCTATCACCAGGTAACAATGAATGAAAAATAATTTATTTGGAAATGCAAAGGCCTCTTAACTTCCTCCAACTTTTAATAGTGAGACTATACATATTTTCCATAAGAAGTACTGTAACTTCTTACATATTTAAGCATAGACAATATCTTCTGATTCCTACAAAAGCATTTTGCATTTTATTTTGTATTTTTGTGAGACACGGTTTCTCTATGTAGTCCTGGATGCCTTCAAACTCACTTTGAAGACCAGGCTGGCTTTGAACTAAGCAATCCGCCTTCTTCTGCATTCCAAGTACTGGGATTAAAGTCATATGACACCACTATCTACCTTATTTGGTTTTATTGCATTGCTCTCTAGTTTGCAAAACTTTGAAGTCATGCATTTCTTAAATTCACTTAGTAAGGGTTATGACTCAGATCTGATTATAAGTCATTTTTTGTTTAACCATTACTTCTTCCCATTAAAGAATCAATAAGAAACAATTTGTAGGTGCCCACCTATGAAGTCACTCATGAAAACCCAGGCATGGAAAGAAAAGCAACCACCCCAGAGTTAAGTGACAGTACCACAGGGAGGCCTTACTCAGCTTTGACTGCAGCTCTGTATTCATCTCTTCGAAGCTGTCAGCACCGGTCATGAAACTCTCATAGCATTTTATGGTGTAGTCCAGAAACAACTGGTTGGGTAGAGCAGATTGTACAAACAAAGACATGATTCTCTAGTTTGCTTCATTATTTTTTTTTTCAGGTTGGAAATTCAAATTTGAATATAAAATTAAGCGAAGAATAGTAAGCAGGTATATAAATTTCTAAGAACAAGAGATTAAAAACCTATCATTAAGAGTGCTATAAAGATGTATGCAATCTATTACTTCTAAATATGAGAGGAGATGAAAATACAAATTTGGACAGAGAAGGTATTTTGAAGCCAATCCAGGAAGTTTACTAACAAATATAATTCAACATAAAATACACAAAGTTAAGTGTCCTTTAAGATGAGTGCTGGGGTTAGAGAAGGCCAGCGGCTGAGAGCCCTTGCCTCTCTTGTGGAGTACCTGGGATCCAGCACCTTCATGGTGCCACACAACCATTCACAGCCCCAGTCCCAGGGGGTCAGATGGCCTTTCTGACTTCCTTGGGCACCAGGCATACATGCGGTGTGTACCAGGCAAAATATTCATAAACAGAAGAAAATAAAGCAAACCAACCAACCAACCAAAGAAGAATGCTGGGTCTTGAGACGGCTCAGTGGTGAAGAGCAATTGTTATTGTAGAGGACCTGTTTTTGGTTCTAAGCATTCACGTGGTGGCTGACAACTGCTCATAATGCCAGCCCAGAGGATGTGACATCCTCTTTTGGCCTCCACAGGCACTGCACACATGTGATACACAGATATATAGGTAGGCAAAGCACCCATACACATAAAAATAAATTAACAAACGAAGGCCCACAAGTGACTTCTGTGCATCTGTAAGACTGGCAGAACAAAACAAGAAGAATGGACTTTATGAAAAGTTGAAATCGACTATGAGTCAGTCCAGTTAAACACACAGGGGCTAATTAGGAAAATCAGAACATAACTAACGAAACCTGTAACTTCATTAGGTGTACGGTGACGTGTTACGTAGAGACCTGAGCACGAGGCTATTTAGAGTTGTGAATATTTATCAAGGAGAAAGTAACTCTTCATTTCCCATCATGAAGTATTGTGACCAATGTAGTTCAGGCTGCCTTGGAACTCACTATGTAGCCCAGGTTGGCCTCCAACTGGTGATTCCTCCTTTCTCAGCCTCCTTGAATATCACATCTGACTCTGAGGATGGCTAATCAGAATGTTCCAAATCCTAGATGAAGTACATATCCCCAAGACAAATTCCCTTTGCGCCAATTCTGTGCTTACTAAGAAACCCTGTCATTGCCTTGTGATATGGAAGGGATACCCCAAATAGGCGGTACATATTCTTGTGCTTGGAAAGGTAGGCCACTGATGCTAAGTGAATACATTTTCAGGACACTTCAGTTTATCTTCTTGTGGATTTGTTAAGAGCGAACCAGTTTCCCTGTTTGCAGTTTGGACCTTGAAAAGTTTGTAGTCCCACAAAATTGGGGAATGGTCAGAAGCTGGTAAAGTTATCCTGTGATCGTTGTGATTCAGCAGTTCCCAAGGTACTGTTGTACATACTGTCATCCGAAATAATGCCCCTTATGGCCAGTAACTTTGACTGGCTTAATCTTAGGATGAAGGTCAAGAAAGTTAACAGCTGTATTTGAAAACTGGGGTGGAAATGAGTATAGTCCAGCATGCGTGCTGTGGCATGCGCGACTCTCCCTGGGAGTCTGCTGCTGCTGTTGAGGTGCTGAGGACAGAGCCGAAGCTCTGGATGTCAGGCAGTTGCTCTCTACCTCAGCCTGAGAATGCTCACAAGGAAAGGATGAAAGGCACTCTAGAAGCCTCTCTAGCTTAGAACACTATTAAGGTAGAAAAGTGGCTTTTGTTCTTGTTTAAGAGAAAAAAGGGGTGGGCTGGTGGAGTAGCTCAGTGGGTAAAAGTGCTTACTGCACAGGTCTGAATCCTTGGGGCTGACCCTCAGAATCTGTAGAAACAAGTCCTCAAAGTTGTCCTCTTATCTCACATGTGCATGCGACACACACACACACACACACAATACACGTATGTACAGAGGCACACACATCTATGCATGCACATGCACATACACACACACATGTATGCAACCCACTTGAGCACACACACATTCATGAGCACAGGTACACGCAAGCACGCACGCATGCACTTTAAAAAGGCATTTTATAAAATAGATACTATGCCAGCCAATTAAAGTATCTTTAAACTACTTCTCAGGTATTAAAAAAGGACAAGACTAGAATGATTATCACTTCTCATGACCTTCCTCACTTAGCCTTCAGTGTGGTTATGGGAGAGTGCTGTCATTCCCAGCTGTTTATCTTAACTACTTCTGAAGTAGTAACTGAACTAAGTGACAACACGCCTAATTACAGAAGCCGGAACAAAACAAACACAGATGTTACATGCAGTGTTTAAAGAGCCAGTATGGGGCTGGCGAGATGGCTCAGTGGTTAAGAGCACTGTCTGCTCTTCCAGAGGACCTGGGTTCAATTCCCAGCAACCACATGGCAGCTCACAACTGTCTATAATGCCAATTCCAAGGGATGTGACACCTTTACACTAAAGCACATAGAATAAAATTAAATAATAAAGAGCCAGTATGTTCCAGTCTTGCAGTCTTAGCTACTCAGGAAGGCGAGGCAGAAGGATGGTAAGTAAAGGCTTGCTTTGAGCACAGAGTAAGATTAGGGCTAACCTTGACAACTTAAGAGGACTTTTTAGCATACAAGATGCCCTGGTTTCAAACTCCAAAAACCCACTAACCGGCCCCCTTCCCCATAGTTATATTTTGTATTGAAAAAAAATTATATTAAATTAAGATACAGAAGGAAAAGAAATCTTTTTTAAAGGCGTGTGCTTCCACACCTGGCTAGTATATATTTCTTAAAGATCAATTTTATTTTACTAAAAACATTTTTTGGATTGATTTATTTTATGTGTATTTTGCTTGGGTATGGTTGCCCATGTTATTAATTTCAGCAGTTGGAAGACATAGGCAAAGAGATCTCTGTGAGTCAGGAGTCAGCCTGGTCTACACAGAGATTTCTAGGACACTCAGGGATATACAGTGAGAAAGTGGGTAACTTTGTCAAGGCTACCTTTGATGTCATCTCCAATACCTAAACCTACCTGACCCCTGACCTCTGGAAAGAGACTGTGTTCACCAAGTCTCCTTCTTAAAAATTCACTGACCTCTTTTCTGAGATTGATTCTCCAACCAAGGACCATACTTGGACATAACCTAGAACCCCTGCTCAGATGTAGCCCATGGCAGCTCAGTGTTCACGTGGGTTTCCCTAGTAAAGGGAACAGGGACTGTCTCTGACATGAACTCAAAGGCTGGCTTTTTTACCTCCCCCCCCCCCCCCCCCCCCC